CCTTGAGTGAATAAGATCAGGGACAGCATCCAGGCCCTGACTTCGAGCCCCAAAACTAGCCAACTCAAAAGCCAACTTCTAATGCTTTTCCATCTTGATGAATGTCAGCATTGTTTAAACAATAGTGATTCTGGGGCTAGGAAGATTGCTCAGTGGTAGAGTGTTTGCCTTGCATGCATGAGGCCCTGGGTTCGATTCCTCAGCACTGCAGACACAGAAAAAGCTGGAAGTGGCACTGTGGCTCAAGTGGTAGAAGGCTAGCCTTGAACTGAAGAGCTGAGGGACAGCGCCCAGGCCCAGAGTTCAGGCCCCACGACCACCAAAAAGAAGAAAAAAAGAAAGAATAGTGATTCTGTTTTCTTGAGAGCTCATTGACTGTCCGCTTCCCTAGGCTGAAACAAATTTCACTGGTAATGTTTTACAACCAATAGTGTGGGTTATTTCTATCGGTTATTTCTGTCTTACAGAAAAGCCTGGGGTTCAGAAAGGTTTAGGAATACCAGCAAGGTCACACAGCGTGTAAGGGGCAGCGTGGGAACTTGGCCTGGGCCCACAAGATTGCACACACTACAGGTCGGGTCATGTTCTTGCTTAGGGTCAGCGTTCCACACTCTTTATCTTCTTTGACCTGTCACCTAACGTTGAGGACCTACAGCCCTGACTGCAAAGATGAGAAAACCCAATGTTCTGCGCATGCCTGAATGAAACTTCAAGTTTTTTATTTCTGCTGGAAAATCTTTGGGAGGCATTAAGCGGTTAGGGTGCATGAAAGCACCTGTCACTGACTGGGGTATGTTCGTTGTCCCCAAAGAGCGGTTTCAAAGTTCATTTTTCTTTTCTTTCAATGCAAGGTCTTACTGTTTAGCATGGGCTGGCCCTAAACTCACACAATCCTCCTGTCTCCACCTTGTGAGTGCCCAGATTACAGGTGTGAAACACCATATCCAGCATGGTGGTTGCTTTTTTTTTTTTTTTTGCCAGTCCCAGGGCTTGAACTCAGGGCCTAGGCACCTCCCCTCAGCTTCCTTTGCTCAAGCCACAGTTCCATTGCCAGCTTTTTCTGTGTATGTGGCCCTGAGGAATCGAACCCAGGACCTCATGCATGCGAGGCAAGCACTCTACCACTGAGCCATATTCCCAGTCCGGTGGTTGCTTTTTAATTTGTCAGGAAATTCTCTTCTTCCAAAAGCAACCTGAAGGAAGACAGCAACAGGGTCTGGGCAGTTGTGTGGCAGGGGGAAGAGAATTCTAGGTGTCCCCAAGTGGATTCAAAGCTCAGTGCCCTGCCGTCCGCATCTGGATGAGGTTGACTCCCCTGGAAAACCAGGATGGCGGTTTCCACGATTCAGAGAACCAGGAGAGAGCTGGTGGAAGGCCGCTGGCCACCCATGGGACACGGGTGATCACTGCATGAACTCCATGGTCACAGCATCCCGTCTGCACAAATGGGGGAGGGGGCCACCTAAGGGGCCTTGGCTGTGGGGGCTTCATATTCCTTCAGAGGAACACCTCTGGCTGGTGTGTGCCTGGTGTGCTCCCGCCAGGCTTTTGGTTGGTGTTTGGTTGTCCTAGAGACACCTCATGGATCCTTGCACAACACACACAAGAGGAGCCTTCTTTTGGAACTGCTCCTGTCTAGAGGAAGTTCTGCTTCTTCTTTTTTTAATGTGCTAGTCCTTGAACTCAGGACTTGGGTGATGACCCTGAGCTGTTTTTGGCTCAAGGCTGATGCTCTACCATTTGAACCACACCTCTACTTCCAGCTTTTGGGTGGATAATTGGAGAGTTTCATGGACTTTTTCTGCCTAGGGTATCCCGGAACTCTGACCCTCCGATCTCAGCCTCCTGAGGAGGTGGGATAACCGGGTTGAGTCTACCAGCACCTGGCTTCTGCTTAGTCTTCTCATCAGTAACTCTCTGCCTGCCATGTCACTTCCCTCTCTCTGGATTCATTTTTCTGGACCATCAAGACAAAGATGATCTAAGTGCTGCAGGTTTTCAGTATGTTGTCTCCTATTACGTTCATCTGACTACCTTGCTCCCATCTATGAACTAGTGGGGAGAAGAAATGTTACCTAATTGTCCCTTGCTTACTTATCTGGGAAAATCAAAATATGGCAAATCTGTGAATCACTATAAAAGTTTTCCCAGCACTACCAGAAAGTTCCCCACAGACCAGCAGGGGCCCTTCTCTTCTTCCTCTTTGACTTTGATGGTCTGAGCTGAAGCCTGGTCAGTTTATATTTGTTTACCCAGAGTAACAGCTACTGATTTATTTCCTGAAGTTGGCCTAGAAATCTGGAGTCAGAAATCCCAACCACAACTGATTGCTAGTCTTAGCTAATGCTGCCCCCTTGTGGTTAGAAGCTGCATTGCCAGCGCCAGAAGGGACAGGGAAGAAAACTTTTCTGACCCACCATATAAGGAATTGCCTTCTACAGGTCTGTGTTCTCCAGAGAGGTTCCTATAGCTACTCAATGCACCTAGAAAATAGATTACATAGCTAATAATCTTTCAAATGCATGCAAATCGAATGTTACGATGAACAAGAAAAATTCATTGACTACATGTGATAGGTGTCTTGGTAGTGTTTGTCACTGAGTGACCTAAAAGTGGACACAGTGGCACACACCTGTAGTCTCTGCTCTCTAAGAGGCTGAAGATCATTGAGTCCTGGGATTAAAGACAGCCTGACAAAGGAAACATTATCTTAAAAATTAAATAAAGCCAGGCACCAGTGGCTCACGCCTGTAATCCTAGCTACTCAGGAGGCTGAGATCTGAGGATCGCGGTTCAAAGCCAGCCTGGGCAGGAAAGTCTGTGAGACTCTTATCTCCAATAAACCACTAGAAAACTGGGAGTGGCGCTCTCACTCAAATGGTAGAGCACTTGCCTTGAGCTGAAGAGCGCAAGGACAGCGTATGTTGTTCAAGCCCCACGACTGACAAAAAAAAATAAGTTGTCTCACTATTGTTCATTCATTAAAATGAATGTGAAGTCCAAAATCAGATTCAACCAGTACCCTGGGCATTAGCAAGTCATACTATTTAGACTAAGCCCAGACAAAAGGATTGCAACAAACACATGGTAGTTATTAATTAGAAGAAAAAAAGAGACCAACGCAGTGAGCCAAGCAAGTCTACTCAAATTAAGAGGATTCACAGAACCTGGAGCCAAGAGCCAGTGGCTCACACCTGCCAACCTAGCTACTTAGAAGGCTGGGCTCATAGGATCCAGGTCTGAAGCCAGCCATGCCAGGAAAAACCCAAGAGACAAGTATCTCTTCATCACCAAAAAGCTGGAAGTAGAGCTGTAGCTCAAGTGGTAAAGCACCAGCCTTGAGCAGAAAAGGCCAAGCAAGAACACAAGGCCCTAAGTTCAAGTTGGTCCAGTACTGGCACCAAGAGGGACAGAGGGAGGGGAGGAGGGAGGGAATGGGGGAAGGAGAGAGGGAGAGAAAGACCAAAGCTCAAATCTGGCCCTGCATTGTCTTTAGCATCTTCCTTGGTCAAGGATAATGTTGATCTCAAACTCCTTAGCTAACTAGTTACCCAGCACCTACCCGGCTCCTTCAAGACCACCCCATCTCTCCTGCCTGACAACCTCTCAACTCCTTCTCACACTAGCTGCCTCCTCCTCCGAGAAGCCCCTCCCCCCCACCCCACTCCTTATAAGGCTCGGGTGTTTGGACAGTCAAGCACCTCCCCCACCCCACCCCCCAAAACCCCAAGCCTGGATTTGAGCTGTGGCTCAAAGTGGTAGAGCACTAGTCTTGAGCAAAAAGAGCTTAGGGATAGTGCCCAAGCCCTGAGTTCAAGCCCCAGGACCAGCACCAAAAACAGAAACAGAAAAAAAACTTACTTTCTCTACATCAACAATCAGGTGCTCCGGGCACAGGCAGAACAAGCCCTCTCGTAACCACCCAGCATCTCTAATTCCCGGTTCCCAAGTCAGCCAGGTGTGGCAGTGCACATCTGGAACCCTAGCAACTTGGGAAGACACCGGACCAGGCAGAGGTCCAAGGCCAGCCAACAGCCGAGGTTCTGGTTCTGAGGGGTGTGATTTTTTTTTTTTGGTCCGGTCGTGGGGCCTGAACTCTGGGCCTGGGCGCTGTCCCTCAGCTCTTCAACTCAAGGCTAGCGCTCTACCACTTGAGCCACAGTGCCACTTGCAGCTTTTTTCTTTTTGCTTATGTGGTGCTGGGAATTGAACCCAGGGACTCATGCATACAAGGCAAGCGCTTTACCACTGAGCCACCTTCCCAGCCCTGAGGGGTGTGATTCTAAGTGAGTACAAGGCCCTAAATTCAATCCTGCTACCTCTGGACAATGATTTTCAGAGCAGTCTGCTCCAGAGACCTTAACATCTTGTCCCAAAAGGCAAAGCTGCCACTCTACCGCAAGGCCCCCTGGGGGGTGAAGGAGTGGAAGTTCCAAGTTTGGGCCTGGGCTACCTCTGCAGATGAAGAAAACAGCTCTTCATCCTCAGAACTGGAAAACTAGGGGAAGGAGGTTGCACTCTGAGGTGACCAGAAAACACCAGGTGGACTGAGGTTACTTCTGAGAGGTTATGAGAAATGGTGCCTAAGTCTGCTTTAAAATCATCCCAGAAAAGCCAGATGCTGGACTCTCAGGCCTGTAATCCTAGCTACTCAGGCTGAGATCTGAGAATCAAGGCCTGGCCAGACAAATCTAACAGATTCTTTCTTATTTATCAATTAACCAGCAAAAAGCTAGAAGTGGAGGTATGGCTCAAGTAGTAAAGTGCCAGCCTTGAGAGAAAAAGGTTAAGCAAAAGCATGTGGCCCTAAGTTGAAGTAACAACCCCCCCTACCCCTTTCCCAACACAAAGACCTCCAGGAGGGGTATGGAGGAACACAGGGACCAATTTACACTCACCTACTGGAGTGTGCATGTATGCGTGCATATGTAGTTGCATTTATTAACCGTTAAGGAAAATCATAACTGGGACACAATGAAGACCAAAAGCCAAGATTGCAAAACACCAAATCTATATTTACATCCACATAACATAACTTTAAGCTGAAGTATAAATAAAACAATGTCTACTGTTTGACAACTTAAGTATCAACAATTAAAATAAATCAAACTGGGATGAAATAAATAAACAAAAATCCAACGAACTGTACCTCTACATATGTACTGTTGTCCCATAGGAAAAAAAAATACAAAACCAGTAGTATCCCAATAGTTAATACTGATGGGCCAAAAAGTAATAACATTCTGAAGTACAAAGGGCTGTCAAAACCGCTGGTTTTCTGCACTCAAAAATGCAGCTGAAAAAGAGAGATCTGAAAGCCCGACTTCAGCAGAACACATACTGACTTATTCTCAAATAGATTTGGTGATTTTTTTTTTTAAATACAAGTTGAATTTCAGCCCGCTATCCTCACCCACCCTTTAAGATTTACATTTATAGCCACAGCAAGCTTTCTGTAATACTCACTGCATTAGGCAAAGATCGAGTCAATCATCTTGCAAATGTGTTAATCTTCAAAAATAGGATATAAAAGTGCAAAACTATTGAAACAAAATCTAGACTATGTACATATGGCTCAGCTTGACAGGGAGAGGGAGCAGCGTATGCCTTCCTTCCTCGCACGAGGCCCCCGCTGCGGTGGCCGAGACCACCGCAAACTATGTCTCCCTGGAACACGGGAGTTAAGACTTCTGCCAACACCACCTTGTGTTGCATAAAGAATAAAAATTTTTTTTTTTAAAAAATCAAGATTCTTTGAGCACTTTACCCTTGTTCTGTGGAGAGGACTGAGGCAAGGAGAGGGAGCAGTGCAAAGGTTGTTTTGAAAGTTTCTTAATAAAATAATTGGGGTGCTAAGCCCACGAGCTGCTGAACCAACTCAGACACGAAAGGAACTCAAGTTTAAAAGTCTCCAGCAAGCCAGCTGGTGTAGGAACTGTGTGCAGAGGGGAGGAAGGGAGAAATGCCGCTGCTCGTAGCCCCGCAATGGGGGACCGGGGGTCTGGACACAGCTAACTGATCAGCACCCCAGAGGCTCAGGCAGCCAGCCCAGCTCAGAACTGATGTGGCTCTAGTGCCCGGGCCCTGGTTCCCCCCATGCAAACCTTCTCTTCCCTTTCAAAGTGCTTCCCAGCCTTTCTGACTCCCCTGCCTCTGGCAGCACTTCCATGCTCATTCAGGCAGCAGCCCCAAGCCCCCCAAAACTGGACTTCCTAATCAATGTGACCTGATAAAAAAAAAACAGAGTGAGCGCCCCATGCAGTTGCTTCCCAAGTAAAAGTCCCCTCACCTGCCCAACGCTGCCCAGCAGGCCAGGGCCAAGCTCTGAAGCAGCCCTCCAGAGAGAGGCAGGTAGCACTTCCTTCTGGGAACTCTTTCATTAGGACCACAAGATGGGGAGGTATTGGCTGACACCGATCCTTGATATTTTGTTAAACAAAAAAAGACAAACCGCAGAAACTGCTCAGAGCACAGAGCTCCATAGGGAAAGGAACACATACACAGTATCTAAACAAGCAGGTTACAACTTAAGTATTTACAGATTTTACCTGAGGTGCAAGTATAATTAGGTTCTTCCTCCCGTCCCGCCCAAGTGATTTTTTTCCCCAGCAGCATAAGTATGCAAAACTCCACTTATTTGGTCAATTCTTACAAGAAAAAAAAAATATTCGGGGACAAAACAGACTTCCAGTCCCCACTTGTACTTGTGTACAGCCAATGGTTCCAACTAGTTTTATTGCTATTTGGTACATGAAGAGAACGACATTATGAGCTGTAGTGTTCCTTTGTGCGCCTCGCACATGTGTGTATGTATGCAATCACAGCTTATTTCAGTAGCTTTCACCATTTTCTTCAAAGGACAAACTAAAACATTTTCCCGGAGACTGTGAACTTGTATCCAGCAAGACCTAAAGAGACAAAAGGTTCACCGTGATTTAGATAAAAATCAGTGTGGGTTAGAAATCAAAACTTTCGAATGCAGTGGGATTGGGAATGCTATGGGTGAGTGTGAGCGAGAGCTAACAACGTGGTACTCGGACACTGAGTCACTGGGCCATGTTGGCCACCACAAGGTCCTTCTTGTTTTCACACTTAGTGACTACTCCCTGCATATGAGGCAGCAGCTTTGTGGGACACGTTACCCACACTTCCTGCATCCAGGAGCCTCAGTAATGAAGCAGTGAGTCTAAGCGTAACCCTGCGTGCACATCCCTGACCTCTGCCAAACCTTTCCTGAGCCTGACTCTAGTCATACTTCTGACACACAAGGTCAAAAACTCCAGCTCCTCCAGGTACAGATCTGAGAAGGCTTTGTGGGGGGGAGGGGCCCTGCACCTGCATGCACATGCACACATGCACATGTACCAAGCACTGGAGCTTGGTGCTATCTCTGCTTTTCTGCCCATGGTTGGTACTGTATCATTCGAACCACGGCTCCACTTCCAGTTGATTGGAGATAAGAGTCTCACAGACTTTCCTACCCCGGCTGGCTTCAAACTGTGATCCTCAGATCTCAGCCTCCTGAGTAGCTAGGATTACAGGTGTGAGCCACTGGCTTCTGGCTTGAGAAAGCTTTGCGCACGCAGCTCCAGCCAGAAGGCTGAGCCCAAGATTGGACTTGTGTGAACACAAGGCTCCTGCTACAGCCTGGGCAGGTGACACAGCCCCATCCTCAGTCCCCACTACACAGCACTGGGCCAAACACTATTTTAGCTGTAGGCTATGTGGCCTGTCACAGCTAGTGAGTTTGCTGTTGTGGTAGGGAAGCAGCCATACTCATTAAGTAAACAAATAGGCCTGGCTGGATTCCAGTAAAACTTTATTGACAAAAACCACCAGGTGGAGAGCTGGTTTGGGGATCCCTGTCCTACCAACACCCGCTGCTGGAAGATGGATTAAATGACTGACGTTGATGCACATCATTCAATGCCCAGCAAAAATGGACTTCAAGTGACATCAGGACAGTTATTCCTATCATCACCAAGGTCCCCCGCAGACCCCTCTGAGCTCTGAAACACCTTCAAGTAAATAAACTGCCTATTCTATTGGAGAACTAGACAGTTTATCTTCACTTAAGTAAAACCAATACACTATAGTTAATGAAAACATATGCTTACCTTTTTCTCAATAAATAGGAATTCAAGTTGCTTTTTTGTCATTTGGTCGATAATGGGCATTCCCGATGAAAGTCTCATAGTTCCTCTTCTGTAGCATGCTGCTGGATAGGTGCTGGTAGGACACAGGTCTCTTTCCTGAAGGGAAAAAGTGTACATACAAAGCATGGACAGAGGCCCAAGCAACTGGCAAGACAAGTCACACACAGTGAATTATTTAGCACAAACACTTAGGAACCCAGAATTTTAAATCATAATAAAATTAAGGACCTTCCAGACTGTCATCAGGTAAGAATTAAAAAGAGAAGGACAGAATAAAACACTTCAAACCCACCTGTGTTATGAAAACACCAGGTAGGGTGGAAAGGGGGGAGGTGGGGTGGGCAAGAAGGCCCATTTGAGAGGATTTGATGGCTGGACTCTGGTGGCTCTATCTAATCTACAATCCTAACTACTCAGGAAGCTGATATCTGAGGACTGCAGTTCAAAGCCAACCCAGGAAGGATAGTCTGTAAGACTCAGAAAACCACAAGTGGCACTGTGGCTCAAAGTGGCAGAGTGCTAGAGTGCATGAAAAAGCTTAGGGACACCACCCAGGCCCTGAGCTCAAGCCCCATGACCAAAACGAAAACAAACCAAAAAAAAATAAAATAAAGGGAAGAGAGGACGAGACTTACAAACTTTCTGCTAGCTTATTTGTTTGCTTTCTAAGACCAAGTCTTGCCATGGAGCCTGGACAAGCCCCAAACTCGGGACTGAGGCTTTCTTTTCTGCCTCAGCCTCAACTGCCAGACCTGGCCTGGGCAGTTTTATTTCATGCCCCTTTTTGAGCACCAGGGTGGGAAGCAGACATTATTAATCGAGAGACAGCCAAAAATTACTACTTCATCCTAACTTTAATGAAATCCACTGGAGTGTGTGAAAGCAATGATTTTCCATGACACCAGGCCAGCTGCCAAGTCATCCTGGATGGGCACTGCCACCACACAGAGCCTTGGTTCAAAGCCACGCAAGCTGGAAGGTCAGGAACCAGCAGCTGCCCCCTATCCTGACAGGGAAGGTGCTACGGGGAACCTGGTCCTCAGACCCCTCCTTGCCACCTCCGCAGCCGGCTACAGAACACTCCGCAACAGGAGCAAACACGTCCATGGGGAATGCTGCAGGCTCCCTGTTGGTCTGGTCATGGGAAAATAAGGCCAGCTCTCATAGCACTCATTAACAAAACCAGCGGGCAGTGGGGTTCTAGATGCATTAATGCCAAAAAGGCAAAAGACGGTTCCTACTTACTGCTCTGTACACTGTGGTGATTACTAAGCAGGGTCATATGGCCTTCTAGGAATTTATGGACCAGCCAGAGGCAAGACACATGGGAAGGACCTCAAATCCCACAGGGGACAGGGCTGGACTTTTGAGTATACACTGATGTTCAAAGGAAGCTAAGCACGGTAGTGCACACATGTGATTCCAGCCATCAAAAAACAAAGTAAGAGGATCACAAATTTAAGGCCAGTCTGGGATAAAGCAAGATTGTCAGGCCAGGTGCCGGTGGCTTACACCTGCACCTGTAATCCTAGCTACTCAGGAAGCTGAGATCTGAGGATTGCTGTTCAAGAGCCAGCTGAGCCAGCTGGGGGGGGGGGGGGGGGGGGCATGAATGTTCTTGAGACTCTTATCTTCAGAAGTGGTGCTGTGGCTCAAGTGGTAGAGCGCTCACCTTGAGCTGAAGAGCTGAGGGACAGCGCCAGGCCCTGAGTTCAAGTCCCCCAGTCAACAGAAGGTGGGGGGGGAGGGGAGGAGGAAGCAAGGCTTCTCAAAAATTAAAAACCTAAAATAAAAAAAGGGGGGGCTGGGAAGGTGGCTCAGTGGTAGAGCGCTTGCCTTGCATGCATGAGGCCCTGGGTTCGATTCCTCAGCACCACATAAGCAGAACAAGCCGGAA